CATCCAGAGTTCTGCCTGAAATAACAAATTTAATTCCTCTCAAGATCCAATATTTAATGTCTTCCAGACATCTATTCTGTCTGAAATCACAGTTTGAACAGAATCTCAAAACCAGTAACAGGGCACAAGAGACACGGACCTAGTTTGTGACAAATAAAATAACCTTCTCTGTAAAAGCACAGTTTTTATGTTAGCTCACCTTCCACCAAAGCAAAGCCTGGAAACCTCGAATTTGACAAAATACCATAGCTTTCCACTGTTTTTTTTTTGTTTGTTTGTTTTTTTTTCCCTTCTGATTGTTTATTGGAATGAATGATTGATTTGCCTAAGAGATGAGGGTGATAAATCAATGATTTGAATGTTCTACTCTGTCACGCCCACCTCAATTTTGGGGACTATGCTAATCCCTTTCTTGCTAAGGTCAATAAACTCTCCTCTTGCCAGACTGGAGTAGTAAGTAGTTTGACCTACATAACTTACCCAATGCTGCATTTTTCTCTACAGTACAGAAGTTATTTCCATATCAAACTAATATCACCACTTTATCACCTTATGCTGGATAGATGAAAATCTTTCACTGCCAGAGCAATTCCAGGTCCAGAATAGTAAGGATAGCAAAAAAGTAGCATACTGTGAAGAGAAAACAACCTAGGTATAGTGGAATTGAATGTGTGACCATCCAATGGATAGTTAAACAAGTCTTTAAGGCACATAGCCTACCTATATTTTTCATTTGGAAACTGAATACTGTAGAAAGTCTATTTTTAGTCAAACATTCAATCACTGTCTTCATCAGGAACTCCAAAATGTACTCTTTTCTTTGGTTCTGTCTTGAAGAAAATATTAGTTATTTCAGACCTGAAGTCCATTGAATCCTTACAAAACAGTCCTAAGGTTACCTATTTTGCATATAAAAATGAGTAAAGATGATTAAATGAATATGGGAAGTGACATTTTTTCTTTAAAGGAAATCTTATCTGCATCACTTCTTCCAAAAGACTAGACCTCAGAAATTTCTAAATTTTCACAGCACCTACCAGATGAAGTCTTCCAGTTCAAAACAATGCAAGTAATATACTTGGAGACTAACTATATGCAAATTTAGATCCTTAATAACCATCCTCACTGCCGCATTAGTTTCAGTGCTTGGTAGAGCCATGTTATTTTATATCTGTGAAAGGTGTACTTGGATTACTCCTCAGGTGGGCAGAGAAGAGCCAAAGAGAGGAAATTCTATTTCCAAGGTGAAAGGTAAAGTATGTGACAGCTCCCTGCCGCTGGCTCTGTGCTAATAAAAGGCAGGCATTACACATGATTAACATGCATTTCAGACCCCACAAATCATAGAGAAAAATCTAATAAAGCCTTTTGGCAAATCATTACCTACAAAAATTTCGTCAGATTCACAGGAAAACAGCAATAATACTTTTTCATACTTAAAGACTTCATTTACCAGCAAATGAACGTTACTCTGTGTTGTCATTCAATAATGTCAAATAAACTTTTAAGTGACTAGGAGAGAGCATTATTAAGTCTTTCCAAAATTATACATCCTCCCTGAATATTAAGCCGTACTGTAAGTGCCTGGTGCTATGCCTATAGTAATGCTTTCATTTGCTATGTCATCCCTGCCAGTCTGCTATATTTTACTCGACTCTATAGCAGATTCTGTTACTAAGTGTTCTGTGCAGATTCAGGAACTCTTCATTACTTTTAAGTCTGACTGTGTATGTCACTAAATTTACTAGACAAAAATAACTGACGATACCTTTAAACTGCAAAGAAATAGAAACCAACCTGGAAATTGCTAAATACAGCATATAAAAAAAAAAAGCTTATTTCTAGTTTTCATCTGCGTGGCACCAATGTTTGTGATGCCATGAGTGCCCAGCATGATTCAAAAGGTCTCCCCTCTGGCAAATATCCATCTGTTAGAGGACATGAAACATAATTGTCGTTTTTTATTTGTTTGTTTGTTTAAAGTAAATAAAGCAGTTTCTAGGTACTGTTATTTGTTATACCATTCTCAAAATAAGTTGCACGACACAAAATGCCTTACCCCTTCAGAGAAAATGACAGGAACTAAGACTTTCATCAGCATTAGTTCCCAAACACCTAATAAAGGAACAATTCTTTAAATCAGCTTACATCCAAGTGAAATGGTAAGTTATTACCTTCCACAGCAAGTCCAACTTCTAGCACAGCATGGATGCTTTAGATACAAATATCTGTATGATAATGAAACGGCATAAGGGCACAAATAAAAAGCCAGGCTTCCTAAACACTGCTAACTGGCTGGATTGTCCATGCTTTTTGGTGTTGATAGGCAAAGGCTGTAGTGGGAGTAGAGAACTCCAAAAGAATGACAGCATCAAGAAGATTAATTTAGGTTGGTCTGTCTCAAGATCCTCTGGTCCAACTCTCTGCTCAGTGTGAGGCTACCACAGACTCTTGACCAATGTCAACTTCTGAATCCATCCAAGAGCGTTGACTCCACCACTTCCCTGAGCAGCCTGCAGCAGTGTGAACTTCCCCCCTACCCCACAGTATTTGTCAGCGTTTTTCTTCAAGGAACTTACCTTTTTCCCTTGGCTGTTCGCCTCCAGGAAAACTCCGATCCCTTTCCACTGACTCTTGTTCAAACTGGACTTAAAAGCCATCAAAATACCAATGATGATTATTTATGAGTTTAAGAGAAATGGTGTCAGGTATGTAATTCCAATTTCCATTTTCCCATGTTACCATAGTTACAGTCATTTATATAATACAGTAGTTTATCACCTCCATACTTGTATCTAATAAACGTCAACCTTTGAGTAACTGCAGTCAATCTCCTCCCTTAACCTCTGCTTCTCCTCTAGTTTCTCTCTCCTCCCCATCTCTTCATTCCTCCCACGCCCTAAGCCTTCACTGTAAGGTGAAGCCCACAAAGAAATGTCAAATCATATGGAGGAATAACCAAAAATGTTTTAAAGATGTAGCAGGACTCTTGCAGCTCTCCGGGCTGAATCTGAAAACAGACATGAGTCACAGAGAATATAAACACTGGTCTAGTAGAAACCATTCCTTAAGACTTGCCTCTGACCTGTCACAGCCCCAAAACCTAACAATCACTGAGCTACTCACTACTTTTGGCACCTGTGAAAACTGTGTTCTGGACTTTAAACTTTCCTGATGTTAACATTGCTTTAATCCCCTCTGCAAGTAAAGAATAGCTACAAAACAAAAAATGTTCTCTTCTGCAGGGATTAAGCTTCTCAACTATCTTATTGAATGAATGCTATTATAAGGTTCTAACCTAACAATTTAATAAAACCTAAACCCTCCTAAATCCTAATACTCAGATGAAAAAGTGAGAAAACATTGAATATTATATAAACATATTTGGCATTCACAGAACAAATACCCTTATTTGAAAAAAATCAGTATTCCACCCTAAATAGTGGATTACATTGGCTAGTTGAACGAACGTAAATGAATTTGCAGGTTAAGTTATTCCACATGGAAGATAAGGCACAGTTGCATTTTTCTTCCACTCCTATTCATATTGAACCCCTGAACAGCCTAGGTCACAACGCATTCACTATGAATTATGAAATACATTTTCTGTATTCAAAACATGGTGACTACCCAGACTTGCAAAGCCCCAGTGCAGGGGCTCTCCATAGGCTGCAGCCTCCTCCAGGCCACATCCACCTGCTCCACCGGCAGCTCCCCCAGGGGCTGCAGTGTGGAGATCTGCTCCATGTGGGACCCATGGGCTGCAGGGGGACAGCCTGCTCCACCAGGGGCCTCTCCACAGGCCGCAGGGGAACTGCTGCTGCCTGCCTGCAGCACCTCCTGCCCTCCTGCTATGCTTACCTCGGGGACTGCAGGGCTGCTTCTCGCTTTCTCCCAGCTGCTGTTGTGCAGCAGGTTCCCCCCTCCCCCCCCCCTTTCTTAAATCTGCTCTCACAGAGGCAAACACAACATCACTTACTAAGTCAGCTCTGTGGCCAGTGGCTGGTCCTTTTGGAAGCATCTGACCACCTCCCCCCCCCACCACAGGGCAGCTTCTGGACTCTCCTCACAGAGGCCCTCCCTGAAGTCCCCCACTACCAAAACCTTGCCATGTAAACCCAATACAAATTAATCTTAATACTAAGCAACACCTGGCAAGCTTAATTAGTCTTTCAATAGATATCCAAAGAAACTAATGAGGCCAGTGAGTTTGAGAATAGCAATACTGAGCACACAACTCTGTAAATTAGATCAATGGTGTGACTATACTTTAATGTCTGTCCTGCTTCTACTGTAGCCAACCAGCCAGAGAGACTCCATTGGAGGCTACGAAAGTGTAATTGTTGGATGGACCCTTCGGCCAGGAAGTTGTTCCAGGCTGTCTTCAGTTGACTGATCTGCTCCCTCCCAGAAGCGAGCTGGCAAAGTTGATGAACCTCATTGTTTTAGAGGAGACAGTTTTGACTGTAAAGACAGTCAAACAGCATCCAGTGCTACCTGCATTTTGTACCAAAAAAAACAGGCTAGAGAGATTGACTGCTTTTCTTTTCCCCAGTCCATGCAATTACATCCTAAAACTAATTTCAAAACATCTGTTCAATAGGTTTCGCTGTTGTCCTTCTATAGCTACTGTAGGATACTAAATCCAGAGTAATTTAGCTGTTGGTCCAGTCTGATCTAGCTAGTGCAGCAATTATTCTAACCGACAATCCAGCTCTAGTCTGCCAATTAACATGAAATTAATGAAATGTTAGAAGTTGGATCACAGTTTATACCTTACATAAACAGGGGTAAGCTTGGATTAAAAATTAGGTATCAAATTTTATTTTCCATGTAAGGAGATTTCAAAACTTGCACAAATCCAAACAAGTGACAGTTCAGCATAGCAGTATCCAATTCATCTAAGAACTACTGAAAAACATCTATGCCGAATATCCCCTATCACCATGAAAGAGTAGTTATTAAGCTTCAATTTAGTACAAAACACTTCAAACACTATACACTGATCTCTGAAAAGTTTTTATTATCACCCCAAGCTGGTAGTTATTACAAAAATAAACCATTATATAATAATGTAATTTTAATCATACATTTTTTGAAACAGAAAAGAAATAGAAAAAGTTTTCTGTGGATATCCCACAAAGCATTGAACTCTGCATTGCATTGAACTCTGCATTTGTTCTATTCTTGCAGAAAAAAAATAAAGCATCTCCAAAATAAGGGAATGCAGTCTTGGCAGCCACACGTTTATGGAAACTTAGCAAGGCTTGAAGTGAGATCGATGGCTATCTTGGAGGAGGTGGAGGTGGCGGTAGCATATATAGGTACGATGAGTTGTACACATTTGGGCCCATCCAAGCCATGTTTAGATTTGAAGGTGGATGGTGACATTGATGCATCTGATTACCGGAACCAAAAACTGGAGGAGGAAAGGGATACTGCTGCATCATTGGATTTTCACTTCTGTAAGGCTGCCGGAACACTGGAGACTCATAACGTATTCTGTTGTCTGAATAGCATGCCTGTGGTGGTCTCATTTGAGGTCTTGAAAATCCTCGAGGTCCTGATGGTGGAGGAAATGGAGCACCAGAGAACTGTCTGTCATGGTACCCGCCCCTTGAGTAACTTTGAGCAGGCTGTTGCACTGGCTGATGAGCTCCTTTGTACTCATCTTTAAAACAAAAAAAAAGTTTTAGTATTTTGGAAAGTTTAAGTTTAGTCCTCACAAACCTTTCAAGAATCACTTCTGTCTTCAAATACAAACAAATACCTAGCCTGTATTGAGAGAGCTTACTACAGTATACAGTCAAGTCTGTTTTAAGATCGTACATCAGAAGTTGAAGTCAATGAAATTGGAAGTGTAACCTTTTCTACAATACTGGCAAGTAGAACGAAGTAGTACTGGCAAATCTACTGTTTAGCAACTAACCTTGACTTATTGGAGTAATATAGAAAATGATCCCGAGTGCTGCAAATTCAATCATTAAGAAGGAAACTTCACGTTCTTCCCCTCTAGGCATTTTCACTCGCATTAACAAACCATGCAAACACTCAAACTAAGTATTTTAGAAGTTTCAACGTAAGACCAGATTTAGGAACACACTACAAAGATCAGCACTCCTTATTCCATCTTTAGTTTTTCACATTTTCATTATGCTGCAAACTACTACTGGAATTACTCAACATTAAGCATGTAAGGGTATTTCCTCACGTCTTCCAAAGTTTGTGGTGTTAAAATTCATTTGCTTATAGGTATGACAGAACACAAGTTATTTTACTTAGCTAATTGCTACTCAAATAACTACTGCAAATGTGGTGTCAACAGTTATCTTAGTAACAACTTACTATTCAAGACATATCTAGGCAGATATATGACAGATATTTATCATGTTTTAAGCCAATGTACTAGACACTGCATTGATTGCACTAAAGTGATACACATCTTTCAGACACATCTTTGGTATTATAGCAGATACAGGACAAATTGTTTCAACTTCAATTTAATGAAGTTAATCAACTCTATCGGGGGAAAAGGCAGACCTAAACTTTTAACCAATTAACTTCCAGCATTCATCTTTCAAAGATTTTTTTCCTGTACAGGTCACAGTGTAAGCATACGTTTAAGGTTCATGATAAATGTGCAGCCAGTTTATATGAATACTGTAAGGGTATTCATGACATCCATTCTGTAGAATTGCATAAGGACTACATGAAGAACATTACAACATTACAAAAATTTCCAGGAAGTTGCTAAGATATTCAAAAGGCTACAGAATTTACACAGAAACATGATCTCTTAAAGATTGTAGTGTTAAAAACACAAGTAGTAAGTACATAACACCACAACAAAGTCATTGAATTTGAGTTATATGGACCTAATCCTTGGTGCTAGATTGCAAAACAATTTCATCTGTAAAAAGCCCGATCTGTGAAAACAGTTAATACTAAGATTCCTAACTGTTTTCATGGGGGATTAGGACCTTTGATTCCTTTGCTGCATCCAGCCCTTTGGGAAGCACTAGTGAAATTACTTCATGTTCTTTTAGTTCTTATTAAAGACTATAACAAGGAGCAATTTTTAATGTACCTGGAGTTTTATGAAAATGCAACCATATAAAACTCCAGCTGAGACTGAGTTTGTGCTCCAACTTAACAGCCATCCTTGCTGCTGAATTCCATAGCCAAAAGTAAACTGCAAGTAACATCAACTTTAAAACATGTTATTTATGAATAACAAGCTCAGTAAATCATAACTCATACTTCCTTGAAACACTGAGAAAGCTCGTCCTGTTCTGTCCTCAGTTATGTACAGTAGTTCAGTAACAGCCTCAGCAAGCCCTAGGAAAGACACGTCCGCAGTAAGCTGGCAGAATAAGGACATGCTGGAAAATATGCCTTATGCAGTGCAGATAAGCAGAAACCAGGAGAGAAAATAACAATCAGCTATGAAAGAAGGGATCAACTTTACATAGAGGAAAACAGTTAAAAGGACAGCTGCTGACTTACAAGCTAAAGAAAAAAGAGGTTCAGTGGGTGGGGGTGCCATGCCTAGCAACTGTACTAAAAGGCAGCAAACTCATGGCAGGAGTCAGTCCAAGAAAGATTTGTCCAATGGTATGACTAATAATGATTTTTTCAATGCAAAAGCAACAGCAAAAATGGAGCAGACAGAAGCAGCAAACTGATATGCAAGCAGTAGCAGAAAAAGAGCAGAGGTGAGGTGGGTCAACAGTATTTAAAAGAAGTACAAAAAGCATGTAACAGAAGCATATCAGTAATATCAAAGTAAGACTGAATTTAAAATTTTCAGCCAAAATGTCAATAAAAACGTTTTTATCACTAGAGACACAAGTGAAGACATAGGAAAATTCAGTTACTGCAAACAGCACAGCTGCAAACATACACATGCGAATGATCTGTCAACAGCAGGAAAAAGAAGCGAAGAACAGTGCGTATGTTATGAAAAACTACACAGTTCACTAATCTACTCCAAGTTTATCTAATGACTATGACAGGTGAGCAGGGGTTCTCAGAGAGCTAAGACAGGTAGTTAATTAAGGAGAGGTATTAATATGCCTTAGGTGAAAAAGAGCTTCCGCATTGAAGACTCAGTCTCAAAAAAACGGTTTTCCAGAAATCATACATGGCTTTATCTTCTCCCTACATTCAATGGCATAGGTTGAACTTAGGCCACAATGACCTCTGCAATAAGCAAGCTCCAAATTCTGAAAGGTGGCATGTGCTCTCTATCCTTGCTGTGTATTAGCTCACATCATCTACCTTAGAGGCTTTGAGTCTCCTCTGACAACTATCCTGCTCTATACTATTTCTTTCTCAGCTTAATGGAAAGAAATACGCTGATTTTCCTTAGAAGTAAGGAACAGTCACAGATTCAAACACTCAGCTTTGGAAAGTACACAAACATTTATCAACTGTATGAAAACAATTTTTAAGATCTGCTGTATGAAAAGCACAATGATATCTGACAGATGAAAGCATTATCCCAGTGCTCACTCACCTGATGTATTTGTTTCTGATCTGAATTTCTTCCTTCCTTGATTTTGAGCCTTCTTTTTCCTTTGTTTTGCTTCTCTCTCCTTTTCATCATCACTGTAGTCCAAGGCCTGGTTAAAAAAAGAGGACAAAAAAGCCATTAAAATATTAAAAAAAATGTACAAAGAACTTCAGTTCTAGCAATAAATAAAAGTATTTAGAAAACATTGCATCCTGCAGTCAGCTTTGAAAAATACTGAAGCTGCACTTTCCTGTTTTGATTTTCTAAGAGCCATCATATGTTCAGCTGGCTTCTCAACAATCAGAACCTTAACACTCCACAAATTTCTCAGAAAACAATTGGACAATTCTCAGTTATTCTTTCCAATTTTCCTAAAAACAGCAACATTCAAGCACTGAACATATTTTTGCCTTGAAGTTAGTAAGAAAAAAAAACTACTGTATGACACGCAACAGATTTAAGCACACATCCTTTTTCATGAATACCTTTCACAGCTTACTGCTAAAAACTGCAGTGAAGATTTTCAGAACTTGCATGCAATTCAACACAAGTCTACCAAGGATTCTATCTCACTCTTCCCAATCCAACCCAATACAGACAATTCACCTAGTTCTCACCAAAATTAAGAGGAAAAGAGTAATATAGCAGTAGCTGAGTGAAACTGAGGAAGCTGGCTAGTAATTACCAACAAAAATCTTGCAAGGGGTTACATGTTATTTAAAGTACAGACTAGGTAAATTAATATATGGGTTATTTTAATAATCTAAGATTTTCATGACCAACACTGAACCGAGCAGTTAAATTTAACTACATTAAACATACTACAGAAAATTAAAATGTACTGACAATTTTAGACTAGTGAGATTCTAATAATATTGTTCTTATCTGTTAAGCTTTCAATAGCAATGTTATTTCAAAGGAATTTTCAGTTTTGAAGAATGTTGCAATTTACAATGGACTCGATGCCACTGCAACATTTTGTTCCTATTAGGCAAGGTTTTGCTACCTTTAGAACCCTAGCTTACACGCAGAACAAGGACGGGTTATTAACAGCAACAAAGAAATCTGTTAGCATAACTAGTTCCTCAAAAGACCGCTCCCTTGTGTGACTAAGGGGGTAGGTAGGGGTTGTGCCCCTCACCCCCAGTTCCAAAAGGAAGGTTTTTGCTGTTCCCTGATGTATTGCTTCAGAGCACACATCTAAAAAACCCAGCACTGATACACTGCTAGGAAAAAAAGCAACCTAAATGTTAATTCTGAATACAATTACTTCTTCTGCATAACTGGATTATATTCTTACACTCCAAAAAGCCACAAGGAATACAACAGTACTACATACTATGAAGTAAAATCTCTTGCTAGCTTCTGCATTTTTCTGAGGACTAAATACATCATCCTCAAGCAGAACAGAAGTAACAAACAACAGGTACCTTCTGCTGCCACCTCATTTTCATGTGACACTCCACAAAAGCTACCTCAGAGAAGTCGCAGTTATCTCCTCCTGCTGGCCTTGCACCAAAACACCATGCATTGTCATCCTATGACCCCAAAGACAAGGCCTAGAGAAATTGTACTGCTGAGTCTACAGCTAAAGTAGGCTAATTACAAGCCTGTGGCAAAAGTAACACTTATCCCATACCTTAAAAAAGGTAAGAAGCATGAAAGACCTAGCCAGGATCAAGTTAAGGTTCATGGAAAAATAGAACTTCATAGCATCAGAAGAACTGACTCCAAAACTCCACGCAGTTCACTGGGGGAGCTTGCCAGACAAGCTATGGAATCAACTGCCAGCTGAGGGCTCTGAAGGAGCCTGGCTCTATGAGACAATTTCAAGCATAAGTAGCATAAAATTAAATCTGCACCCCTGTCAACAGTTATTGCCTTCAAAGTAGAAGATACTTTCTACCAGCTCATCAGCTGTCACAGCCTGGTTATCCCAGGGTAACATGTAACTACAGAACTATCCAAAGATGAGCCTAATTAAGGATTACAAGCTGTTGTGTATTGTTTTCTACAAAACAGTAAGCATGCACATCGCTAAGTCAGAAAGGTGTCACAAAACCCAACTAGGTTGCCCATCCTTGCCAGCAATGATTTCTTTCAAATCTCCTTCCTTTCTTCCTATCATGAAGTACAGCAAAGTTCCCTCGGTACTTTCAGGTTCTAATACTCCAAAACACCAGATCATCTTTGAAAAAAATCTTTTCGTAAATAATCATCAACTTTGGAAAAAGCAGTGAACCTGTATCTGCTAAAGACTTGACTGCTTCACTATACACAGCCAGACTTTAAAGTTACTTAGTCACAAATTCAAATTAAGCATTTACATGCTTAACTCCTGAATAGCTTTAAAATACAGCTATGAAATTAAGAACTTACCATTAACCTATGAGCACATTTTATATCACCACCAAAAAGCTAGGCTTAGCCAAAAGCATACAGTCTTTCAATGCTCTGTCAGTCACATATCTACAGTCTTAATCTGTGCAACACTTCTAATTCTCAAATGATAATTCTTGGTGAGATGTCTTCCCAAGAAAGGAAGGAAACCTACATTCAGAAGTGTTAAATGAGCATTCTTTGAGAGAAGTTCACACTACTCAACTTAATTCAGTTTGTGGGAAGAGAAAGTATTTTGAAATCCACCATACCCCATACTAAATAAAGCAACATTCTGGATTGACAAAATGATACATCATTACAGGACCTATCTTCAAACCTTACAAAAGCTCACATTACATTTCTCCTTCAAGCCAGAACAATGAACCAGGATAAGACATGTTAATGCAGTATTGCTTAGAACAACAAAACACAGAAACCCACTCAAACAACTAAAAGCCCTTTCCTACCTGCAGTTTATATTTGGAATCATGTTCTGTGAAACTACGCTAGCCTGTCAAACTTTCATAAAATTCAGAAAAAGCAGTTAATTTTAGATCATTTTAGGACACTATTCGAGGCTTCTAAGACTTTGAGCTATTTTGTGTAAGTTACGCTTAAAGTAGAAATTGCATGGAAAAGTGGGAGCTTTAAGCCAGAAAAATCAGTCTCATGATGTCACATCAATAAAACCACCATTTGTGGCTGTTAATAAAGAGGCAAATAGTCATGAAAAATAACAAAAAGTCAGTTAAATTGGTGTTAAAGAGCACTAGAAAGAAAGGCTGGTCACTGAAGAAGTCATTAGAGATCCTACAATACAACTGATGGTTGTGAAGAGCTCTTGTTTCTGTATCATCATATATGACTGCTTCTGTATGGAAAAAGCTCATCTCCCCTTGTTACACTGGCATTTTAATAGGAAACAGTAGGGAAACCTTAACAAGGAGCCATTCAAAGAATGCAACAGAACAGGTGTCATTAACAGACTAACATCCAATCTTGTAGAATACTAGGAGACCTTTAAATACAAAGGATTGGTTATGGTATGGTAAAAGGCAAAGCTACTGTGAAAGCACACCAAAGACAAGAACACCCTAGCAGAAGCAAAACTATCTGGCAAGGTAATAGTTTTTGCTACTGAAAGTTGATCATTCAGGTTTCCAAACATGTTCTTGAAGAGCTGGAAAAACTGAAAATAAAGTTACATACATTCCGAACTGCAAAAAGCAAGTAAAAAAAGTAACTTAATCTCTCTCCTACTGACTGGTAGGCCTCTCCAAGAAAAGCAGATGCTCTTTACAACAAAAGTTGTATCAAACTCTTGTCTGCATAAAAACAAATAAATTGCTAATTAATCACACTGCACAGAATGTTTTCTATGTACATTTTCAAAAACAATAGAACAAACTATATATACTTACTTCAGGTGGTGGTTCTTGGTCATTCTTCCAAGATGCATCTGATCCCTTCTCCCTAAAAGGAAAAAACATAGAAAGTTAAACAATCAAGAAGTAAGAAGTTATAAGGAGGCTATGAAACATCTCATGTTTCAGTCATGGTGTAGTAACATATTTCAGGTTAAAAAATAATTTGTATGAGAACTGTAGTGTAGCAACTAGGGTAATACTTTCTTCCAGACTTATCTTGTATACCAGGAGTAGCCTGTTTTTAAAGAAGCATTTGTTTTTTCCACGTTATTTCTAAACAAACAGTAATGTATGTGTCAACTTAGGGCTTGACCAGACAGGACACTTGAAAACACTTTCCTCCTTTGAGTAGACAAAACACTTCAGACAGCTAATATTAAGCTGTGACCAGTATCCTCCCAACACATCCTTTTAAACCTAAATTGCTTGAAATAATTGGGATAGGTCACCAGAAATTTCTTATGATAACTACAGTCATAGAATTTCTTATTCTTCCCTTATACCCTTCTTCTGTTTTCAGAACACATCTCCAGTTGAAAAGAGCAAAGAATTTGTCTAGGAGGACATGGGCTTCAAGTCCATCTATCGCAAAGCAACTTCAGAATCGAAACCCTAGGCTTGGCTTACAATTCTATTAAGATAGCATTAACTAGATAATCAGTTAATAGATGGTTGTAAATATAAAATTAAAATTTAAGAGAAAAGACATGTGAAAACAACTCACAAAAAATGTTCTTGCCCCAAAAGAATTCTGAATTGGTGCCATTTATTTCTCTCACCACTTCAAGAACTCCATTAAAAAAATCAAGCAATTTCATTGATCAGTAGCAACTCTGGAACAAGTTTAAATTAGAAGTCTGTCAAATATGCTTCTTGAAAATTTAATATGTTTTGGTCTGTAATTTCAAGACAATCTTTACTTATGCAAACTAAACAAAATGTTAACATGCATACTTGTAAAATGGAGCCATATAAGTTTAGAAAAGTGTTCTATATGAAATATCTACAAACAATGCTCTAATAACTGAGTGTTATGTAGTCAGCAAGTCAACAAAAATCAAGCTACAACAGCAACATTGATGTACATGACCAACTCCATGCTGCCTGGACTTAAACAGACCTGAAAGACATCCCAAGAGAATACAGGCAACTCATCTCGAAGTGCTTTGTGCCTCAATCCCTACCCATAAAACTGAAGATCAATCTTTATGTATGGTTAGAAAACCTTAAAGACAACACCACCGTGATTATCAGGAAAACACTTCAGAATGCAACCCATTAATTTCTAGGCTACAGAAAACACTCCAACAAGGCAATGAAGAAAGGAAGAATATTTATTATGAACAAAGTTCATTGTTTCTTCCTCTCACCTTCTTGTTTCAGGGTAATAAACTCCCTCCAGAAATACCAGAGCATAAACAAACCTGTGGTCACTAGGCAATACGTAGTACTACTAACTGCAAAATTCATCTTAAGTTTTCCTAATCTTAAAGCAGTTTATCTCACTCTGCCAAGGCAACCTTCACCATTCCAGCACAACAGAACATTTTCCATGCTTTGAGATACTTAATCTTCTGCAAAGAGCAAGACACTAATTCTTAGATTTCTGAATTCAGGTACTGTAAAACATAGAAGTCTAACAAAAAGGTGACTCATAGGAACAATGAAGATACATGAGCTTCTTTAGAATTATTGTGTTTCAGTCAATGCAGGCAAAAATCCACACATTACTTTTATTAAGTCATTTTGCATTCAAGAAACTTGGCATTATCTACTAAATACTGATACTTCCATTATCTTCTCCTTTAACGCATAAGGCCTGTTCACACCACTGCAATTTTGCACAATGCAAGCAGATTTTTAAAAAGCTTCAAACTTAAGTTTTTTTAGATCTTAATTCTGATTGCTTTCCATTTCAAAGCACCACTACAGTTCTGAGTAGCTTTTTTTTTTTTTTTACAACTTTTAAGCTGACAACACTTCACAGACCAATCTGCAGAGCGAAGTAATCTAATCAAGAGCAGGGAACAAAATCACTCGTCATCAAATCTGTAATCCACAGTCCAAAAGCCCTACCATAAACCACAGAATGAAGATGAATTCTTCTATTGTCCATGCCATCTTGGTTTCTTTATACAGATGTTACAGCAGAGATAAGACATGGAAGTTGTTCATCCGTTTCCACTGGCAGGACCTATCTATCCTACCTGCTTTGTGAGAAGGTAGCTTCAACAGACAGTACCAACGGTGTCACAAAAACTTATGAACCTTCACTGACAAAGTACCTCAAAAATAAAAGTTCCAGTGAAATAAAACTGAAACAGGACCACCATTCTCAAATTCTGGTTACTTTGGACTAGACTTGTTCACATGCATCATTTTAATGCAAGGCAAGGAGCAAGGTCTGACATGCTGCTCAACTGCGGTGATAAGACGTGGAAGTGTTGAACATCTTACCTAGCGTTCAATTTCATACCACAGTAGTTAAGTATTACTGAAATAAAACAAGTAGCTCCCAAAACTACTTGCATAGCATGCAACAAATTATAAAACATTTCACATCTCAGATGCTGAGTTTGGCCTACAGTTATTGGTGCAGTAAGCAGATTATTAAGTCTGTGCAATTACTGCGCTAAGCAACGAAGTTCACTTGCAAATTATCGAAGACCAGCTGGATGCAGAAAAACAGCTTTCTCACCCTACTGCTTCTTCCATCTATTTTAAAGGTCTCTGCTGAAAGTGGTGTATATATTTTTTTAAAAATACCTGCTGCTTTCAAAGAAAAAAACTTGCAGGCCTTGCTATATCGTTGGTCAATAAAAAAAAAAATCAGTAAGAATACTGACTGAAGTTGTAATTTATACAGACACCAAACGTTACCATTTTTCTCTGTGATAGTGAGTCAAATGAGAACTAATCCTAACAAATAGGGACTTAGTCACATGTGACGGAACTTCTTTAAACCTACAGTTATCTCAGACATTATTAGAAAATTAATGTTTAGCCAACAGTTACCATGCCCTGTTTCTTAGTCCTTAGCTTTGAGCACTCATCTTTGAGATGGCAACAAACCCTATTCATACATCATACTTTCCTCAGGCAGGCTGATACTGTGAAGAAGTACTCAAGGCTAAATTTCGATTCAGCATTTTCAGCTACATTAAAAAAAGTTATAACCAGACTACAGAAGATGTGCTACTTACTGTCTCAGTTTCTCTGCAAATATATACTGGGTGAAGTCTTGCACCGATGGAGCAAAATACATGTTATCTTGCACATTAATACTTTTCTCTTTGATATGCTCTGGGCTGTTAAATCGTAACACATAGAAGGGATGCATAACAGGACCAAATATCTCAAATATCTGAAACAGACAATCATTTTAAAATACACCATCAAGATTAGTTAACTAATTTAATCACAAACAGCTGTGAAGCTTTAACATAACCTGCATTATGTTAATCAACTTGAATTGATGTGTTTTCAAATTGCAGCATCAAATCAAGTGATTCTCATGTTTTACCTTTATTACTACATTCATTTGACAATGTATTTTCACATGCTAATACTGCCTTCACCCACCCAACTGCACTGCTTTCACTGTTTCCTTCACTTCAGTAATCTTTCCTTTTGTCAGACTTCTGTTCCTCTCTTGATTATGCTTTCAAATCTGAGTAAATCAACACCTGAACAATCTCCTGACTGCTTACTCCTGAAGTCCATCTCTACGAGATGCCTTTATGTTAGTTTCCATGTCTTTTCAATGGAGAACAGAGAATTCTGAGATGTATGGTACACCTGCAATTTGATGTTTTCCAGTGTTCCACTCACATCTAGTACAGATAAATATTCTGGTAGTGACACCTCTAGGTGATGGCTTTCTTTCTCCATAGCATATACAGAATTCAATGTAATACCCCTATCAGGAAACATTCTTCTTAAAGCACACACTAGCCTAAACCTGTACCACCGGAGTACACATACTATTCCTGTATTTTCCTGGAAAGCCAATTTTAATTTCTCTAATTTTTGCCACAAATCCTGGCAATAAAAGAGCAAATATTATTATTAAAGTAACCTCTATTTCCATAAGTGGTCATATCAAATGACAGAACCAGGTAACAGACCACACATTGTCATTCTATGTGGATGCAATGAGTTCCAGGCTTGAAATTTTTAAGACTAAAAAAATCAGATCACTAAAAAAAATAATAAATCAAAAGTTCAAAGAAAAACTATGCATAAAGCAAATGCTGTCTTTCAGTTGACTCAAATACTATTTGATGCAAAATAAAATACTTTGAATTTAATATTAGAATAACAGGTTTTTACGCTTTACACACACACCTTTCCTGCAGCTTCCCGATCTTCTTTAAAAATTACACTTTCCTCATTTATTGGAGGTAGGCCTCTCACAGATTCAATTATTACTACAATGGAAAAAAAAAAAGCAATTAGAATTTTACATTTCAGGAGCAGTATGTACTTAATTGCAGGGAAATACAAGAAAAATATCTCAATTATTAATAAACTAAACATCAGCTTCACCCCAAAATTATTGTGCACATACAAAATTTCTTACAATGATTTAAAACCTTCTCCAGTGATCTGAGTGAGAAGATTTACACTGGTTTATAGAACTAGTTTTCTCCAGAGCTAGAGAAAGAAAGACGATCACATTAGATGCAAAACAGAAGTCTCAGATACATATATGTGAATTACCTATTGCATTTCCTCAGGCTGTTTCTTAACAGCAACAATAATTTGTGGGGGAGGTTGCAATTTTTTGGCATGTGAGTATAGATGCATGTGCATGTTCTGCCTTAGTATTCCAAAAAAATAATCCACCAGAAAAAAAAAAAGAATAGAAATAGCTATTAATTTCCCCTAGTAAGTTAAAAATGATGCCAAGCAGTGCAATCACAGCAGTAACCAGGAGCGTCATTTATCAGTTCTGTATACAGATACGCAATTTGAAATATTTTTGCACTTCAGTGTCATACAGTAGTCTCATCCTACATTTGGGCCTAATTCATGATTAACGATGGTATGAGTGGTCAAACTGATCAAGTCATTCTAGCACCTTAAAAGATGAAATGCTTAGGAGACTTACGTACTTAGAAAGGGACAGAGAAGTATGCTTTTCCTGTGTTAAATACACAATTTGATGATATACAGCCTATGAATCAACTTTATTTTTAGGTTTTCCAGATTCAAGGAAAAATAGCTTACTCTTTACTGGAGTCTTTAGAATGCTTCACTCTCATTTTTTTTCTTTTTTGCTTAAGAAAACAGAAATATTGTCTTCCTTTACATTCAGTAGTAACTACACTTAAAGCTATCAGCGGTCTAGGAGCATCATACTCAAAACTTCTGATTCTGAAGGTGATCTTCTCCACCTTTAAAAAATAATGCTAAATTAACTATTTTCAATTCCTCAATCATCTAATATTCAAGCACTTAACATCACTTTCAGACTCCTCCAAAAACTAACAAAAATCTTCTAAACTTATGTAACAGAACTTAAAGCAAACACCTCCTCAAGCAAAACCTCCTAAGGCTCTGCTGCTATTTCGATCTGCAAGCGTGATATGCCAAACAAGCCTGTGACAATGCTACAGACTTAACAGTTTACTGAATTTTGTGACATAAGGAAATCACTGTTTTGTGTCTACCTATATGATAAAATGTAGGGTGAAAGAAGCCCAGTATGTTGTTTAATCCTCATGAGAAATATATCCTATATAAAAAAAAAAAAAGGCCAACACACACTCACAAAGTTCTCAACTCAAATTGACCACTTACAGATCCCAGTCTTCAAGTATGCCAAGGAAGGCATTCTAGCAACCATAAGCTCCAAAAAAAGCAGGGAGAAACATTATGAGATTTCAACCTACAACTGATTTGACCTGTAGCCCCCCCCTACCCTAGCCCACCAAAATCCTTAAGCTTCAACTCTTCCAGGACCACAGAATGCAATCCTAAGGCAGGTTTGCTATATATACACACCAAAACTGTTTAACTCTCCAGGCTATAACCCAGAGATGAATTTTTCTGTTAAGCACCTTGAAGCAAAACACAGCTGAAGTTCTGTTAAACGTTGACACACTTAACAGAAGTTTACGTTCACTACAATAACTACCATTCCCCTTACTACTGTGAAGCATGCATTAATCTATGTTTTTCTACCCCTAACTTGACCTCACAGCATGCCTACTTACAGACATCTGCATACAGACATTGCAGATTTTATCAGAAATCTCTACCGTTTTCTGTAGAAATTTTTCAAGTATAATGAAAGGGGCAGAAGAAGTTCAGGATACTGATTACTGTGTTAATAGTTTTGCAATTTCCAAGTCTTCAACACATGTGTACCTGATACAAATTTGGTATACACGGGTTTCTATTTAGCTCAAAAATCAAAAACAATCCGAAGTTAATTGACAAAACCCCTGATACAGCCATAAATCAATTGAAATTGAGGCCTCTCAGACACCTGTTTCCAGAAGAACTGAAAAGAAAACATGCAGATGGAGGAAGCCACAAAGCAAGGCAGAAAAAGCAGGAATTAACATATATTGGGGTTTTACTACACACTTTGATCTTTACTTCATACTTGTTTACTGTTGTGTTTTCTAATTTTCACCAACCAGCGTAAAATCAGCAGCACACGTTTCAGTTACACAAAGCAGAATGCAGATTCAAGTTGTCACCTGTCAGTATACAGACAGGATGTCTAGAGGTTCTATTCACCAGTAACAATTGAAAAACGAGGACAATTTTCAAAACCGAAGTCTTTAAAAGTAACTTCATTTAAGCATTCACACTCTAAACCTAAGGTAGGAATAGCTGTAATCTCTCTCTTGAATATTTAACTTTCAACTTCTTTTCAAACTATTGTTTCAGCTGATAACAGCCCTCATCATTATAAGTACGTGAGAAAAGATGAGTAAAATAGGCCAGACAACTACCTTCAATGGCCAGACAACTACCTTCAATTCTTTCAAGACAGCTTCTGGTCAAAGATTGAGATGAACTCTAAAGCAACAGCAACAACAAAATTGTGGATGAATAGCTTGTATCCCCTGGAGGTTTTTTTGTTTGTTTTTACAATATAAAAATTTTAATAGCAAAAGCTATATGCTTCATTCTTTTTTTTTTCCCCATTCAACATAAATATACTAATTTCAAATCTCCAATTCTCCTAGGAAAATTGCTTTAAAAGCAGTTCAAGCAGCATGGAGCACTTCAAATATGCTTAAATACAAATGCACTATGGAAGTTTCATTAATACCAGCTTCTGCAAAACTTATTTCACATACCAAAAACTGACGTGCCAGGTAGAGCTGAAAAGATCCCTAAACGCATACTGCCTACAGCCAAGCCTACATCTATTATGAGTCTCAATCTTATTAAGCTTACCCTCCAGCATCTATAAATCACATTAGTCATGCTGTCCTATGACTGCTGACGATGGCAGCCTGCATTTGGTCAAGGTGCCAGAAATGGGATGAACTGTGGGGGGCCAAAATGATGAACTTACTCAAAATACCAATTATCCAACAGATGCTGCGTTGCAAACAAGCACTTGGAACTGCATTGTACAGCGTGCTTTCACTTACACACCTCCTGTATCTTCAGATGTAATTCATATGTAGCATTTAAAATCTTTGGATATCAAAAAACTGCACATGCTCAATCTTATTGTTGCCAGGATTAATGCAAAGGCCATAACACAAGGTGAGAAAAGGCTTCTTACAAAAGTTAGAACATTGAAGTCCCACGAAAGCATATGCAAACAATACTCATTTAGTAGTAGTTTGTCTATTAGATCAGTTCTCACGTGGTAACCTACTGCCCCCTTCTCTGAACAAGTGCAATGGAATCAACAGAAATGTTTAACAGCACTATGGAACAGAATGCTGCAGTACTGAAACTTTGGAGGAACAATTAAATACACAACTAATGTGAAGATCAACACATAATTTTAAGTAAAAAGTAAATGCATCTTGCCTACCTAGCTGCTCAATGATACTGGAAACTGTCCCAAAGAGCTTCAGTTCAATATTATCAGGTAGAATTAAAGATAAGTCTTCAACTGGAGGCAGTTCCTGAAAACACAAAATCAACGTTCAGAATATAATCGTCATACATTCACCAATTTGTTGCTACATAAACTTGACAGTCAGAAAAACCTCCTAGCATTTTGAAGATTTCATTAGAAATCTAGTTTGATTCATCTTTCAGAATAATTCTAAATGAACTCATCCTGGGGGAATGTCACTTTTTAAGACATCTTTTCAATTAAGACAGTACTCTGTGTATTTCCATTGCAACTGAAGTAGACACTAATTTTATTCAAGTGAATAAAGCCAGCAACTGATAGATGTTTTCATTTCTTCATATTTGTCTCCCTAACTAAATAATAAATCACTTTCAACATACAATTAGATAATCAGTAACCACAAAACAGACCATTTATTGCCTTGACTTCAGACCAATATGAAGGATGTCAAGGTATTATCTTTAAATGAAAGTTCTATTTGGTGGAGGATAATCAGAGAGGAGCTTTGACAGAAGCGCAAAATTTCAGCTACATAAATGAGTACCACACAGAGAATACACAGAATTTTAAACTTTGCCTTTGATAGCAGATTTTATCGCTTGTATTTGAACTTGAACAAACTCATTAGTCACGTCCAATGTACTCCAACTAGTATTTCTCCATAAGTTACAGTGCTGTTATTTTGACTATATGGAATGAAACCTATGTGCAACTAGTGTAAGTTACCTTCAACATCATCTGAATTCGGAAAAAGTGTCCAAACTTCAGCAGTTAAATGTATTTCTACAAATTCATCTCCAGAAACAGAACAGCTACCAGCAGAAGACTCACTCCAACATAAGAATCTTATTCTGTCTCTCATCAAAACTTCACCTTCCCTTCATTTCTCAACAGAGGCCAAATCTTTTCCAGATTACATAACATAGGATCAGAGCCAATATACACAAATTTAGAAACACTGCAAGCTCGTGTAAAGCTCGTGTAAAGCTCGTGTAAAGCTCGTGTAAAGCTCGTGTAAAGCTCGTGTAAAGGTCACTTGGTTGGGTTTATTTTTTTTTGCAACTTGAAAGCATATCAAATTCAATTATTTAAAGACAGGCTACTTGAAGAGATTTTGAAAGATACCACTTTTTACTTACATCCAGTGGCAACTCGTCTTTTGTTTTAACACAATGTCTTCTGTTATCCTTCTCATTTGGATGATCATCTTCATCAGACACTGTTGATGAAGAACACGAAGAGGAAGAGGATGTAGTTGAACTGTCTGAATCTGTGTCACTAAATGAAACAAGTATGGGAGTTAAAATATGGACTCATACATGAAAGTTAAAAAAAGACACCGAAATCATGCATTACTCAACTACCTTTGGACAGAAGGCATTTTTCTGAGATGTTTAATAATAACGTCAATCCTTCCTGATCCAACAACTCACTGGACAAGATCACTAAAACCTGAGAAAAGCAATGCTTCAGCATTTCAGAACAAATGCTAACTGTAACAGCTCACCTGGGTGCCCGCAAGATGTTTTGAAAGGTAACATATTAAGCTGCCTACTATAGTTCTGTCACTCTTGATACACAATCCCAACATTAGCACAATGCTAAGTAGAAAATATATGTACTTATTCCAACTGATATATCTTGCACTATTAAAAAAACATATATAAAGTTTTTGCAAATAAAAGGCTTTTTTTTTTTTTTTTTTTTTTTTTTTTAAGTTTTCACTGGCGTAAGTATTTATTGCCCAGGACACTTAATGTTTTAAGTAAAAGGTAAAGTAAAAAAGCAGTCATTACTCATGTTCACGTTTCACTTAGAAAAAAGTTTCCTTCCTCGAGAGTCGGAGAAGAGAAACAAATATACAGAACACTCTATTCTGTTGACTGAAAACGCTACTTATAAACCTTTAACAAACACACACTGAAACAGTTGTAGGATTGAATGTATGTTTTAGTACCCCATCTGACAGTTAATAGTGCAGGATTTAGAAGCAGGAATAAATAAAACAAAAAACGCTCCCTTCTACCTATTTTAATATTAAATCACCTTCTTAAGAAGCACATTGATGGCTTTCACTTATCTGTCGTTGTAGTTTTTCTAATAATTGCTAATAAAGACAACTAAAAGTAACACTTTCCTGAACAGATCCTTTGAAAAAGGACTTCTTGGAACAAAATCAACATAGTAAAAAGACTACTGAAAATGAAGTAGTGAGAGGAAAAATAAAAGAATGAAGTGTAAGAGGAACAGTGAGCTATGTGGTGTAGTTTAAAGCTTTCAGATAAACGTTTATAGTGACAATCACTGCAACAGATTTTGGAAGCAATAAAGAAGTCCCTACAGACATAAAGATCAAGTCAGGAAACTCGCTGCTGTACTTTATGATGTTCTAGGACTACTTGAACTGAGCAAACCAACTACTTCCACAATCTAGCTTTACACTATTAAACCATTAGTGAAGCTCAAGGGGAGAACCTCAGACTTCTTATGCATCAACTTCTGACGGTCAGAAGAGGCACGTGGCAATCTCGTATTAGGGAACTGCAACAAAAAGTAGCCACGAAACTCACTGAAGCCGATTAAAAGCGTGCAGGCTTCAGAAGCTGAAAGGTAGCTTATACCTAAGCAGAGTTACCCTTCATTATGAAGAATCCCACGTTCAGACTTTTTCAGGTGCTTCGTCACAGAAAGGAGCTCAGAGGCACCCTGGGGGCACCAGGTCCAGCACCACACTCAACATGATGGCGGCCCAACGCACCACGATGCTCTACAAGCCCAAACTCCCGTGTTCCCGTTAATTTCTGCGCCCCGCAGACGCTGTTTTGGAGCTGTACTAACGGCCAGGGGCCGGCTCCCGCCCCTCGAAGCGCCGCAGGGCAGCGCCGCGCGGCTCCCCCGCTCCCCAACCCACCTCTCCGAGTCCGCCGCCGCGGCCGGCCGGGAGCTGCACGCCGCCTCGCCCAGCGGCAGCACGGCCTCATCTCCCCCCTCGCCCTCCCGGGGGCCAGGAGGGCACGGGGCCGCCGTTCCGGGGCCGAAGGTGAGCGCCTCCAGCTGCGCCGCCACCTCCTGCTGCGCCGCCATCTCGCCCGGCGCCGCCATCTCGCCCCGCCGGCCGCGCGCCCGCCGCCCCCCCTGCCCGCGTGGTCGCCGCCGCCGCCGCCTCGGCCTGGCTGAGCGAGCCCGAGGAGGAGCAGCGCGCGTGCGCGAGGGGCGGGCGGCCGTGGGCGCCATTTGGGGAGGAGCGGCGGCGGGCTCGGGTAGTCAAGGCCCTGGGCGGGGGGACCTGGGGCGCACCGCGGTTGGACGCCGCTTTTTGGGAGGGGAAGGGGCTGCTCTTATAAAGTGGGGGCAGCTGCCACGTGCTGTGTCGTGATGTGTGAAGTTCTTTCCCGCCGAATAAATCTTATGATTAAATCGATATTTACCACGTGTATTTTGTTTGTATTAGGCTTGCCCACGAAGGAAAGTTGGAGTTTGGGGGTTTCTCTTGCATGGGTGTGCTTTGGGGACCTAGGGGTATGTGAGTCTTGGTAATTTGAATATGCTGACAACACACAGCAGATTTATTTAATTTAAACTTAAAAAAGTTAAAAAGCTCTCCATTATCAACTTTTTATAATAATATCTGAAGTTAAAACAGTAACCCTATAATAATACCTAGCTCTACAACACTGAAGCACATCCTCCAGATCACCAAACTATTCACCACATCATAAATGAGCATTGCTGTAGGTGGTTTGCCATAAATACATGCTGTTCTGGAGCCAGAGGGTTTTTTCAGTGCATATCCAGTGCCTTGCACAACTCCGCAAGGTAGCCTGCTGGTGTACTAGGAGTCATTCCTCTCAGTGCCCAGGGATCTGACGCACAGTGGTGTCCACCCATGTAGGAGAGGAAAGAGGAATTCCTTCTGCTCTTCCCCATGTTCATACTTAAAGTTCTGCCGTATGACAGTGACTTGAGAGGCAAAATGCATGCCTTTTATTGAACGCAATCCATCCATGGCAAAACCCAAACGGTGTGGAAAAGACAAGCAACATCTAGAGGTCGCTTGGACTGTGAACCTGCAGAAAAGCCCCTTAAACCAGACTCCAGACCAGAATTTGACAACGTTTTGCCAACACTATTTGTTCCCAACCATGACAGAGCCTCATAATGCTGTCCTGTGGACTGGCTTCCAAATCAAGAGCAAAACCTGTTTTCACTCTCAGGCAACAGGTGAGCGGCAGAGTGCAATATAATTCTGAAGAGGAACACCATGAATAAAAATGTAAGAGAATTACGTGTGAGGAAGGCAGAGTGCAAAGAAGACTGGGATTTGAAAGTATGATGAGAGCAGAGGAGAGTGAGACTCATTTCCCCGTGCATATTTTCCATGTGATAGACGTCCCCTCCAGCTCTGAGAGAACTGTGTGTTCAGGGCTCAAAGGGTGCTCAAAACAATTCCTTGTCCTCCAGACTGCCTGGGCAATGCTGATTAAAATGCCATAAGAGAGCTACACAAATATCCCAAACAGGCTCAAGTGAGCATCTGCCAGGAAATAGATGTCTTCCTCTGGTAGTTCTACTAGTTAATCACAACACGACACAGCATACACAACCTGAATTTAGTAGGAAAATTAAGCATATACAAATATGTGCATAAAGTAATAACGGTTTGTTGTTGCTGTTGTTTACATTTATCTAGAATTATATATAAGCCAAGCAGAATAGACACTTTAACGTATGTTTCCACAAAAGGCTTAACGTCATTGGCAACTGGTATTTTTTGTACTGTCCTAAGTGAGGAGCCTTATATAAACAATACACAGAAGTAAACTCTCTCATTGCACACTCACACCACCTTGCTCCCATGCTGACATCTCATCCCATGCCAAAGGAAAAAAAAAAAAAAAAAAAGGAATCTGCTTTTCTCCAGGGACTACATTGAGTTTCTGAGGTTAGGGTATGTAAGGCACATGGTCTAAATATTACTGCCTTATGCTGTAAGCCCTTTAACAAACAGGAATTTGGGGAATTTGTACAATTCATAAAACATTTAGACGTGAGTTGCACAGGGATTAAATATTGAAAATTCATAAAATTGGTTTATATTGAATCTCAGTGACAAATACGTTTTCATCCCTAATAAAGCAACTAAAATTATGTATATATATGCAATTGAAGTATATCTGGTAAATATTTAATTTTAAAATTAAGCAAGGAGGGGTTATTATTAAAGTAGTCTTTATTGTTACTTTATTAGCTTTTCAGATTTGGGATTTGAGATTTACCTGAAATAGATCATAATACAGGGTTTGTGAGTTTCTGTGAAGAAGTTGATCCATGTGGTCAAATCACTTCCTAGCAAAAGGTAAAATAATTGATGTCAATATCAGATTGAACTAGTTGAATAACAAGGAAATGAAAATTAATTTTATTTGCTAAATATAAACCTCTTATCAATGCAAAAGTACATTCAAGTCTATCTTGCACTTATGTAAGTAGAATCATTTGACTGTCTCACAAATCACATCTTTCCTGCTTTCTAAAGTATTTTAGTTAAGTGTTTTGTAGTTGTACTCTGGCAAGTAGATTGTGTTTTGACAGTTCCCTTCATATTTGTGCAGAACTCCCAGCATCTTCCAAACAAGAAGAGACTTTATTTCATCTGAACACTGCAACTTAGCCTCCAGCATATAATATAGCACTTCTCTTAGAATGAGGGTAGTGAAAAGCATGATGCATAATAAACATCATCATCCATTCAACCAAGGCATTTCAAATAATTTGAAAAGCAGAAACACCAACATGAAGATGTTCTACGAAAAGAATCATTTCATAGATGAACACTCTAATTGCAGTAGCTGTAACTGTGAAAGCACTTGTTTTCAAGACTTAAACACTTAAGAAACATTACTGCTAGGATTGGAACCCAATGTCATCTGTTGAAAGAGGGCTGCAAGTGATTGCTGGCCTGTTTTCTGCCTGCAGTTTCTTTGATGAAGCTCTCTGGAGGTGTTGTGTTCTGCATTTATTTTATCTATTCTTGCTACTAAGACACACATGTAATTGTTTCATCATACTTTTAAAACTAAAATGACACCATTGAAATTATTATTAAAATGTTTTATTAAATTTCCTTGAGGAATCTGTTACAAAATGTTGCTTAATCCTGTTATCTCTCCTGAACTTGAAGATTGAAAGTTGCTTGGAGATTTCTTACAGTGCTTATTGTATCTTAAGTAGAGAAAAGAAAAAAGGAATAAGAAAGGAAGGCAAGTTTCCTAGTATATTTGAAATATGAAACCCAACACTGTTGTGACATTTAGCATTTATATTTTTTATGCTTTTTTATTCTAGTTGACAATACACAGTGATATGAGAGATTATATGTAGAATAAAAAGAGTATTTTAATTAACAGAAGGAGCACAATAAATTTGAAAATATACTTCTGAAGACATTTCTTAACTTTTAGGTTAGTTTATTTAGGTAGTTTGGCAGCATTTTGTGTGTAACCAATTTCAGCGCTTCATCGCCATAATCAGCTACTTAGATCTTCCTTGAGATTTTTGTGTAAGTTAAGAATTTTTGACAACATACAAAGCAAGAAAAAAGAAATGCCCTGGAAATACTGTTTTTGAAGGTGTATAAAAACAGAATGGTAAAGTGACTGGTTTCAGCTGCCATATACTCTTCCATTTCTTATTACTGCCCAATTTACCTCTCAGCAACTGTAGCATTATTATCTGAAACTGCAGTCAGTTCACAGTGACAAATTGCTCCTCACAGCTCTAAGTAAGGTCTCCAAGAAGCATGAAATGATACCAGTTCTAGGAAATCTGTTTACACATTCAGAGGTATAGTATGAATAGATTAATAAAAAAGCTTTTGTCTTCTAATATCCTGTGGTGGATCAGAGAAACCCTTCAGAAGATCTGAAGATGTCTCTTCTCTGATTTGGGTCAAGTGATGTCTAGAATTCTGCTAGTGTTGATTCAGGACAAAAACTTACACTGAAGAACCAAATCACATCACAGAAAATGCTTTGGTTCACAAGTAATTAACTGAAGAACTAAAACGACTTGAGCCTTTCATTAGCACTGTTCTTAACAGCATTTACTGCTCTTTCACATGATGTGGGTATAGTTACGAAGCTTGTCAAGTCCTCAGGTCAGCACCAGTCCTTCTCCTATAAATAAAAGGAGAAAAGATAGAGTGAGCATTTATGAATTTGATGAGTACTGGAACGATACTGGAAAAAGCACTTGAAACACACAAAGCTGAAGTTACAGTAGGGCTTTTTGCCAGCACAGTGACATCAAAAACCCACATCCCTATGTGTCTTTGCCATGCTTCTAGTTTCTACTTAGACTTTCCCCAAGTGGTCCAGAGTAAAAGGATGGCACTTCACACCACTCCTCATAATACTTCAGTTTTTAAATTGATAAAGGAAAGACTTTTTTTTTCCTTGTAGTCCCTCAAATTGCTTTCATTTAGACCTACAAAAATAGATAAGTACATGAGCTGAATGTCTTGTAAAATGACCAGCACTTTAGAGTGCTAACATCTGAATTGTCACTCTGACATCTGAGAATAATTACTCATGGGAAGTGAAAAAGTCATTTTAAAACTTTGAGTTCTGTTTGCAGACTCTTAGAAAAAAAAAAAAAAAAAAAAAAAAAGTGAAGAAAGAAAACTCAGAAAACTAATCTTTGCTGTTACAAAAGGTACCCTTAAGCAGCACATGAACTCCACCTATTTCAGAGCGAACAATAGGAAGACTGACTTACTAAATCTCTTACTAGAGAAGGTCAGAAAGATGTAACAGTTGCTGGCACTTCCCTTGTATTAGACGATCTTGGTAATACATCTATATTAGTACGCTTGTACACCAATTTGCAGGGAGGATTTTGTCCAAGGCTGCTTGAAGGCTCATACGTTAAGTGGGATATTCATTGTCTCTGGTGGCAAAGACTGATGCCTCCATAGCATTAAGAATTCATGTTGTTCCTTATATAGTCCAGTTTTAAGGGGAAAATACAGGCTTATAATTTCAACAATTTTGAAAATATTGTTGCTATTTCAGAGCCTTTTTTCCACTTATCAGCTAAACTGCAAGGGAGATGAAAGTATTCCTGATCAGGAGCAGAAATCAGATCATCAACAGAACTTTCTGTATCATTGTTGCTAGTCACATTTCATTGCAACCAGATGAATCAATATTGTAGCTTACACAGGTGAGATATCTTGTTCTGAAACAAGATTAAAATAGTTACAGTACAGAATGTTTTACTCACTTCAAAGCTTCAAATTATGTACAGTTGGTACACACTCCTTTTTCATTCTGTGTATAAAGAGTTGGGCAGGCTATAACTAGATGAAAAGAAACAATATGTAAGTATATATATAAGTATATGCTTAGTATAGAAGACTTTCCCCCAAAAAATATATTTTAAATATGGAAAAATACACAACTTCATCTTACAGTCCCATTTTCCTCTTAATTTCTCCTTCCAAATGTAGCCAGTATTTCTCTGATAATTGAGCTGCCCAGTCAATTTCATCAATAACAATTCAAAACCCTTCACTGATGGGCTGACTAGTTCACCTCCAGTTACTCTAAGAGTTTGTGCAATTCATTTATCAACTTTTATTAGAACATATTAGATTGTTTTTCTATTTACGATTTCAGCCCAATATTAGAAATTATATCAACATAAGCATAGTTTCATTAGTTGCCAACCAACTGCATCCAAGCTACATCTATAAATGTGATTTATTCTGTTATGTATAAATAGCTCAGATATTTAAAACATCTGCATAGCTGAAATCTTCATAGGGAGTCATATTTGGAGAGAGTAGTATGCTTTGTAAAATTGAACATGGCTTATATATAATCACCTCAGAGAAAGAAAATGTTTCAGTAACCTGCTTGTTTATCTGACTATTGTAGTTTCCTGTGGTTCCGGCATGTCTCCCACAGTCTTCTGTGAAGACTCTGTGGTTATCAGAGCATTTTACTGACTGTCTCTGGAACCTGGAAGACCTTTTTTTTCTGTCCTGATGCATGTTCTCAATCAATCCATCACATTTTGGCTGCACAGCCTAGTATTCTTTCAGTGCTTGCAACAGTGTTTTGGGTAGACAGGCACTCATTAAAGTGTCAATATATGACAGACATTAGGCATGAAATCCGTGAAGAAATTAAAGAATGTAATTTTTAATCCACTTATGTAATCACTGAATCTAAAAGATGTTTCTCTCTGTGTTCAGATGATTTGAGGTAGATTTCTGCACACTTGACATCTCAGGTAGTGTTTCTTACATTGCAGTTTCATAATTTTAATTCAGCATAAACTGGCACTGCCAACAAAATAGATGGTTTTGCTCTTCCCCCAGTTTTCATTTTCTGTCCTATTCCTTGTGCCAGCACTGATGTTCACACAGACACGAGTGAGTGGGGGTAGGGAAGTGATCCAGTAAAAATTAAAACAGGCACCCCCAGGTTAGTTTCAGCCACTACAGTCCCAGATGCCACATTTCACTGTAGCTCTACAAATGCTAGGGCCAGTGTAAAGGGGCCGCAGGATGCGCAGTGAGCAGGTAAGAAGGAGCCAAAGGCAAGACTGTGACATTAGTTGCCAGTACCACTCTGTGCTGGATTTAGTTTGTTCTGAAATTGTGGGTCGCCACCTGAGTGACAGAGGCTTTAGTAACCAGTCCTCCTACTTGGCTTCTTCCAGTAAGGAAAAATCACGGTCAGCCTTTTCCTCAGAGTATATTGATGCAGGATGTGGATTTAGTAGATAGTTTTTTTCTCCTGTCAAAGTTATATGTAAATAAACACAATCAAATAAGCATTTAAATGTGTTTGCTCATACCTCAATACTGACTTCTGTGGAGGCATAGTACAATAGTAATCATAATGATGGTCATTGTAGAAGTACCAACACTCCGATAATCCTGCTATAATATTGTATCTTAGATTTATTCCAGCTTTGGCAAAGCAATCTCAGCATGTTTTTCTCATGTTTCTGTAAATTGCCATGTCACAAAGGAAACTAGAAGAAAAGCACACATCCCTACAAGATACTTGCTTGTTCATTGACCGGTGACTGAAATGTATTTCCTGCTTTAATTAATCTGAAAGACATGCTATTATGGGGATATATTATGGGGATGTTATATATCTGTTTACAGATTTTGATTGCTGTTATGGTGCTTGGCTGCCTGCTGGGTTACACCATACAGCTTTGTGCTCGTTCCCCCTGACCCAGATGGATAGGGAAAAGAGTTAGAAAAAGGTAAAAGTGCAAGAACTTTTGGGTTGAAATAAGGACAGTTTAGTAAGAAAGGGAAAAGGAATAATAAAAGAATAAAAGAAACAAGTGGTACACCATGCAATTGCTCACCACCAGCCAACTGATGACCAGCCAGTCCCCAAACATCGGCAGCCACCCTGGCCAAATGCCCCATTTTTATTGCTGAGTGTGAGGCCAGGCAGTGTGGGATATCCCTTTGGGCAGCCTGGGCCAGCTGTCCAGGCTGGGTCCCCTCCAGCTCCTGGGGCACCCCCAACCCCTCGCTGGCAGGGCAGGGCAGCACAAGGAGCTAGGAAGGCCTCGCTTCTGGGCCAGCACTGCTCTGCAACAGCTCAAACATCAGTGTGCTATCAATATTATTTTCATCCTAAATCCAAAACAGCACCATACCAGCCACTATTAAGAACATTAACTCTATCCCAGCTAAAACCAAGACAATTACATAGCTAATAATCTTCTGTCAAGACCCAGGGTATTTAAGAGTTAAGGAACCATATCCAAGTTCCTAGCACTGAAATTTGTGCTTCCTCCTATTTATGAAGGACTAGCCTGTTTCTTTCCTTTTTTTTTTTTTTTTCCTCTCCAATGGACCACTGTTAAAAAACAGAAGAACAAAAGGACTATAACAAATTCTAAAAATTCCCTTTGAGACAAAACCTGTTTTGTAAGGAAAAGCATAAAAGACACATCTTTGAAATATCTGAAGAAAGCAGTATAATGTAAGATAACAAGAAGGTCCAGGAAACCTGCAGGTGAGAAAGTTGCCAATTTAGACTTACTGTTGAATGCTTTTTGAGAAAGCATTACATCCTTATAAATTATATTTCCATTTGTTCTTCACATTTCTTTTGGTACTTAGGTACTCCTTCCACAAAATATACTGATTTCTCTATCTGTTTGGCTGGAACATGATTGTGTTTCCATTGCATTCAGAATTAACTACAGAGAACCAGTGTACTTTTGACCTTCGGCCCTCCTATTGTAATTCTCTGTAGCTACAAAACAAACAAAACTTTAGAGGAAAAAAAAAATCTCAGAAAACAAAAATCCTTCTGCCTAGCAAAAAATAAAAAAAAAGCTGAAAGCACATTGCCTTAATGCTCAAATCTCATCACTGACTTCTCAGTGATAGGTAAGATCTGCATAATGCTCTTCCAAATAAAAGAGCTACAAGTGAAGTCAGCCTCCCCAATAGGCCTTGTGTCTGCTAAAAGCAGTCTGTTTGGAAAGCCACCTGAAGAAATATGGAATTCATTCATTCATATTTGATGCCTCTGAGCTCAATGTTTTCAGATAAAACTGAAAATCTTGTAGACAGAGTTGCCTTCCGATAACACCACCAGTAAAACATACTGGAAACAATCACAATTCAGAGCACTTACTCAATGACTTTTCAGACATAATAGAGTCAGAGAGCAAGCAAGCACATTTCACATTAGATACACAAGTTGTAGTCAATGTACCACAGCAATCTAAAGAAAGCAGAAAGAAAAATTAGATGAGCATATTACACAGTTTATTCATTCTACTGGATGAAATAATATTCCATATCGGTCATTTAAAAGTAGCTAGAGGGAAGTCTGTGTACACATTGTGATTTTGAATGTTTGTGTCACTTTTAATTAAGGGTCCATATAGTTTGTTTCCCCATGAAATTTGCAACAGTGAGTTACACATCTCCATTTCTTTCCAGAAACACATCTAAATAATTTAGCTACCTTCATGACATACTTGCACCTTCATTAGCCTCTAGGGACGTCATAAAATTTCTCCCTCTGCTTTGCCTCCTTATTCTTGGTTACCTATCTAGGGAATTTGTTTTTCATTCTGTCCCCCTGTCTGCAGTGCCAGGAATTTTATATACCCTCTGCTCTCCTGTCATACTATGTTCCTGTCTTTTCTTGTTCATTTGATCTAATCCCATCTCCTTTTGATAGTAGTAATTTGTTGTTGTAGATACAAAGCTCTTTGGGAACCAAGGAGCACAGACCCAGAAGAGACCTGGCTCATCAATTCCAGGTCTCCTGCAATCTCAGACAATCATGTGACTCGTGTTTGGTCCAGATGGACTGAAAAAACATCCACTTTGTGCATCACAAAAGAGAAAATTTATTTTTGTTTTATGAACTGTGCAGTAAGATAAAAAGTAATACCACTGCACTGCCTCCAGAAGAAAGTAAAACAGACTATGTGAAAGGATAAAAGTCATTCATGTAGCACTAAGCGGCCATTGTTTACATAAATTACCTCAGTTTTGACCAGGTGAAGGGAGAGGTACAGTGCAAATAGGATCAACAGTGCCAATATCCAGTCTCCCTTTGGAGGGGAGGGGATGAAACAGGGAACAAAACAGAAGGAATATTGTGCCACAGAAAAAATCCACTCTGTCTGTACATCTGGAATACTCAATGCAATCCCTCATCTCAGAGAGGATCAAGTAGAGCTGGAACAAATGTGGAAAAGGTTCTGTACAAAAAAGACAGCTTTCTCCAGCCTGCAAAAAAGACAACCAAAATGTACTGTCAGGGAAGCTTATGAGTGATATGAATAAGAAACAACACTTTACAATGACAAGACGCATTAAAATAATGACATTAAAATATTAAAACCTGCTTGAGGCAAGTCAAAATGGAAAAAAAGACAGATATATTTTATTTTTTTTTTTACACAACACACATAAGTGCGCTTTGGAGCTCCTTTCCACATTTTTTTTCCCTGGATACCAGATTTTATTAATTGGAAAAATAATATCATTGCTTCAGAAATTTCCTGAGCTACAGATTGCTGCAAGCTAAAAACACCTATGCTAGCTTTGTTAATTATGTTTTTCCTTTAGACAGTCACCATCATCCATTCCTGCAGACAGGATATTCATCTATATGAGTCTTAGGTCTAAACAAATACAGATGTTTTTGTGTTCTTTCTCAGAGTGGCAGTTCTGAGTGCCCAATTCCACTGAGACTTCCTAACAACCAGAAGTCCTGAAGCAATGGCTACTTCACAGGAAGTCTCTGCCCGATATGCTTATATATACATGGTAAGTCAGATATG